AGATTGTGCCCAGGGGTCATTTCGTAGAAAAAGAGCTAGGGGAACTCATTAGCATAATCATTAGCATATGCCACACCCCCTGACATCAGGGGCCCGGCGGTGGACCTGCAAGGCCAGCAGGAGTGCGAGGAAGCCCTGCCAAGGCCCTCCCTGGCCCCAGGCAGGCAGGAGTGGGGAGAGGCGGGGAGGAAGCAACTTACCCTTTCTCTTCTCCTGCCTCCTCCTGGCTGAATGAGGGCTGGAAGCGGGGCGGCCGGAAGCAGGGGGCGGGGCTTCATCATGTTCCCCGCCCCCGTACCTCACCCGGGGGAACTGTGTTCCCCCGCGTCCCCCCCCCGAAATGACCTCTGATTGTGCCAACAAATATGGAAAACAAAAAAGGCCCACAGACTGAATTTACCTCCCGATTAAAAAAAAAAAAGGAGACGCCAAAGACTGCAACAACTATTGGACCATCGTATTCATTTCTCACGCAAGTAAAGTGATTCTCAAACTCTTACAACAAGGACGGTTACCGTACACGAAATGAGAAATGCCAGATTTTCAGGCTGGATTCAGAAAAGGAAAAGGCACTAGAGATCATATTGCAAATTTATGTTGGTTACTGTAGCATACGAGAGAATTTCAGAAGCAAATCAGCTTGTGTTTCATAGATTACAGCAAAGCTTTGAATTGTATGGACCATGATCATGTATGGATCATTTTATACTTGAGGATCTTGACAATTTGGTAAGAACTCTACTAAAAGTGACTGTTCCTAAGCCACAACCAATAGCTGTTCTGTCACTAGTGTTTCATAATAGTGGGTGAACAGTCTCATCAGCAAAAACTCTAGTGACTGTAATTTCAAACAGTGAAAGGAATTTGCACATTTTTAATATCTTCTGTGGAATGGTTGGTTGGGAGAAAGTGAGAAGCAGTCTCACCCTCTGATTGCAAATTCACAAGCTTTTCAACTTTACCAAGGTCAACAAGGTGAGGCTCTGTTCTCAAAATCTGATGAATGGAATATTTAATATTATGCCTATTTTGCCATCGACCTCAATTCAGGTCATTTTCTGAAACATAGATTGCTACCTGGTTGTTTTGCAATCAACATGCCATTCCACAAGCATGTTTTCCCCCAAGTTTCCTTCATTTGTAGACTTAGTAGACTGCAGCTTCTGCAATAAAGGAATTCCATTCTTCTCTGATCTATTTAGTGTCTTATCCAATAGATCAAGGGTGTCGAACTCATTTGTTATGAGGGCCGGATCTGACATAAATGAGACTTTGTTGAGCCGGCCCATGTGTGTCATAAAATGTAATGCCAGGTAACAGAGATATAAACTTTTATAAAGGACACAAACACAAACATGCTTAAAACATTAGCACTCTTGAGATATTTTGTTTATTTAACAGTGTCTGATAACTGACACCTCTTGCTCTGAATTATTGCATCGAAATGTCTGTGCTGTTGCAATCTTGAGTATGCTGTTCAGGTGTGTATCTGTAAACTGCAAACTTACAATGAAGCAGCAGCAGCAGAACTGGAAGAAGAAGCAGAAGACAGCTAGCTCCACTGCAGGCTTGATAGGAGCCCTCTGGGGGCCTAATCCGGCCCCTAGGCCACATGTTTGACATCCCTGCAATAGATCTTTTGAGGGGATGGAATTTAAAGTCTCCTGCATAGAACCTCTGAAGCTAAGTTGTTCAAGTTGAGTGGAAATGTAATTCAATTGCTGAAAGCTTTCAATAACTGTTTGTGAAGTCAGTAAACAATAGTCTCCAACAAACTTCAATAAGTAATCTTTTAAAAAATCTAAATCCAGTTTGCATTCCTCAGTATTGTCTAACTGGGCTGGTCCCTTCTCTTCAATTAACTTCGGAGAGTTGTAAGTGTCTTCTCAGTTCTCCAAGCTAATATCCTGGAACTGATTACTTAATGAACATTGAGATAGTGAATCTTCTTCTGTTTTTAAAGCTTCATATCTATTTGGTGAATAGAAGGTAGATAAACCACTTACATTGTCCTTACAACTTACATTGGAGAGAGAGAGTCATCAATTTTAAGTTGTTTTACATTCTTGGCCGTCAAAGACTGGTCTGAATTTGGCCTCCTGCATTTCTTCCCCCTGTTCTTATAAGAACTCATAACTTTACAACTTGTCTTCTTGAGCTTGTTATTTAGAACAAGGCAAAACTATTACCATCCAGCACTTCAAGGCCATTTACAGGACAGGGAGTAGAAAGTCTGCAGGCCGATGCCAGCATAGCTGTTTCAACTAATTGTCTTCTCAGTTCTCCAAGCTAACAAGAGCAGGGCTTCAAATCAAACCATCCACCCATATAAGAATTTGCCTCCAACCATCAACAAAACATGCCTGAAAGCATATTAAAGTGTTCTGTAGTAATCACTCAAGACAGACAAATAAAAACTTGGAGCTCTACAAGTGAGCTTCCAGCAGGCAAACACCAACTATTCCAGAAACGCTAGATTTTCAAGATGGATTCAGAAAAGGAAGAAGCCCTAGAGATCATATTGCACATTTATGTTGAACACAGAGCTGTAACCAGAAAAGGTGTGAGCACTTTTAATTCTCGTTGATTAGAGGGATCATCAACTTAAGCTAGCCTGCACTCTGGAAAGCAGCTGAAAGAAAGCTTTTTGAATTTTTTTCCTCTACGCGCGCGAGCCCCAGAGGAACGGAGGAAAGCCAAGCTGATTGCTTCAACTCTCCCAGCTGCACAGCCTGAGAAAGGATTAACCCCGTGAGTCCCTAAAGATGAGTGAGGCAGAATAGCATATTAGGCCACACCTTGACAGCACAGCTCATTAGCATATTAGGCCACACACCCCATGTTACCAGACGTGTGGTCATCCAGCCACACCCACTTTTTGCTTCTTATTCTGTTTACTTTGTTTATTCTCAAAACGCAGGGCTTTTTTTGTAGCAGGAACTTCTTTGCATGTTAGGCCACACACCCCTAATGTAGCCAATCCTAATGAGTTTCTGCTGTTGGGTGTGGCCTATTATGCTAATGAGTTCCTGCTGGGTGTGGCCAACTCAGGAGCCAGCCGGAACTCCGTTCCTGTGCGTTCCTGCCCAAAAATAGCCCTGGTGATGCCACAGCATTTGTTCTGATGTGCCACTGTTAGGACAGTATATGGAGAAACAGGATGGTTTCCAATTGGCAAAGGTGTCTGACAAGGATGCATTTTATCTCCCTCTCTCTTCAGTCTGAATTCAGAACACATAAGGAAAGATAGATTAGTTTTAGATGAAGGTAAAGTGAAAATAGGTGGAAGGAACATTAACAATTTGAGATTTACAGATGATGACACAATATTGGCAGAAAACAGGGAAGACTTGAAATGACTACTGGTGAAGGTTAAAGCACCTGGTACTTTTGGCCACTGTGTGACAGAGTGTTGGACTGGATGGGCCATTGGCCTGATCCATCATTGGCTTCTCTTATGTTCTTACGTTCAGAAAGTACCAAAGCAGGATTACAGCTGAACATCAAGAAGACAAAAGTAATGGCTACTGGGGAACTACACAACTTTAAGGCTGATGATGAAGAAACGGAAACTGATTAAGATTTTTTATTCCTTGGCTCCCTCATCAACCAAAAGAGAGACTGCACCCAAGAAGTAAGAAGGAGACTGAAACTGGGGAAGGCAGCCATGAAGGAGCTAGAAAGGATCCTTAAGGGTAAGGATGTGGGACTGGCGACCAAGATCAGGTTAATTGATGCCATGATATTCCCTATTAGTGCCAGGGCTATTTTTGAGCAGGAACGCACAGGAACAGAGTTCCAACTGGCTCCCGAGTTGGTCACGCCCAGCAGGAACTCATTAGCATAATAGGCCACACCCAATAGCAGAAACTCATTAAGATTGGCTACATTAGGGGTGTGTGGCCTAACATGCAAAGGAGTTCCTGCTCCAAAAAAAGGCCCTGGGTTTTGACAACAAACAAGGTAAACAGAATAAGAAGGGAAAGGTGGGTGTGGCTGGATGACCACACTTCTGGTAACATGGGGGTGCGGCCTAATGGGCTAATGAGCTGTGCTGTCAGGGTGTGGCCTAATATGCTAATGAGTTTTGCTGTTGGGTGTGGCCTATTATGCTAATGAGTTCCTGCTGGGCTTCTTCTACAAAAAGAGCCCTGCCTATTACTATGTATGGGTGTGAAAGTTGGACAATGAAGAAAGCTGACGGGAAGAAAGCAGATTCATATGAAATGTGAGTTTTATGGATACCGTGGACTGCCAGAAAGACAAATAAATGGGTCACAGACCAAATGAAGCCTGAACTCTCCCTAGAAGATTAAATGACTAAACTGAGGCTATCATACTTTGGTCACATTATGAGAAGACAAGAGTCACTGGAAAAGACAATAATGCTGGGAAAAGTTGAGGGCAACAGGAAAAGAGGAAGACCCAAGATGAGACGGATGGATTCAATCAAGGAAGCCACAAAGGCCCTCAGTTTGCAAGACCCAGGAATGACTGTTCATGATAGGATGTTTTGGGGAATGTTAATTCACAGGATTGCCGTAAGTCAAAAGCAACTTGACAGCACACAAAGTAGCAATAGATTGATAGAACTCGAGTGATCTGCCTGTTACCAATTTATTTTTAAGAGCCCTCTTGTGGCACGGGGGGCTGGCCATGGGGGGCCGAGGCAAGGAAAATACAGGGGAAGCTGCAGGAGGATGCCCCTCCATAACTGTTTAAGAAATTTTAAAAACTATCCGTATAAATACATCTGATTTCGATATTACTTGTCAGAATAAGAAGAAAATTTGATTAATCTGTTTCACTGAGAACATTTCAAAAGGTAAGGATGAAGATCGCCACCAGAGAGGAGGACAAACACGAAAGTTTCTCTCTGTCGTTCATCCAGCACCGACTCCCAAAAACTTTCCATATAAATACCTGGGACAATAAAGATCCATCTTTATCCACAGTACCAACCTTGCAGTTTCTTAAGAGAAAGGAGGGATTTCTCTTACCTGTCTAGCCGTAGCTGGGAAGTTGTTCGGAGTATGTCAACAACACCCTCATTTTTCAACTGTTTGCAGCAAATGCTGGTGGCAATAAAGCAGCCAGTCCTCCCAATCCCTGCACTAGCCAGAGAGATCAAGAGACCGTAAAGGAAAAGTCTACAGGAAAAGCATCCACATTTCTTTAGTCATGAAAAAGGGCATTTTGCACGACACGAGACCATTGCAAACAACAGCAAAGCAAGAAAACGATTTGAATAACACTGTTGTGCCCTATGAATAACACGGCTTTGCTCATACCTCTTATACATACTCCACACCGAGACAAAACGCCAAAAGGCAGCCTTGATTCTTCTGGCTTGGGATGCAGGGACAAGGGACCACACACAGGTAAGCAAGGGAGGGAGGTTTTTTGTCAAGCTGCTACTGCTCCAACCGTTATCCCATTCTTCTCCCTTTTACCGACTCTGTGTATCGATGTGACTCCTCCCCCCCAGAAGCTCACATAAACATGTACAATGCAGAAAGGGAGGGCCCCCCCTTTGTAGAAATGAAGGCAGCATAGTACCATGCTGTCATCTTAATATCACCCAGATAGATGGATGGATGGATGGATGGATGGATGGATGGATGGATGGATGGATGGATAAATGGATAGATAGATGGATAGATAGATGGATAGACAGATGGATAGATAGATGGACAGATAGATGGACAGATAGATAGATAGATAGACAGATAGAAAGACAGATCTTTTTGTAGCAGGAACTCCTTTGCATATCAGGCGACACACCCCTAATGTAGCCAATCCTCCAAGAGCTTACAGTAGCCCCTGTAAGAAGAGCTCTGCAAGCTCTTGGAGGATTGGCTATATTTAGGGGTGTGTCATTTAATATGCAAAGGAGTTCCTGCTACAAAGAGAGCCATAGATAGATAGATAGATAGATAGATAGATAGATAGATAGATGATGGCTCTTTTTGTAGCAGGAACTCCTTTGCATATTAGGCAACACACCCCTAATGTAGCCAATCCTCCAAGAGCTTACAGTAGCCCCTGTAAGAAGAGCTCTGTAAGCTCTTGGAGGATTGGCTACATTAGGGGGGTGTCGCCTAATATGTAAAGGAGTTCCTGCTACAAAAAGAGCTATCTACAGGGCACACAATACTGACACGCTGGAATGACTTAAAGCCATTGCACTCTCAACGATGGTACTGCCAACAAACTCTGGCATGCCTATTGCCCCGTAAGATCACAACCCCATGCAGCTTCCTCGGCAGACACAGCTGCATTGCAGTTCACAACAAGGGATGGGTAAATATTGCCCCCGTAGTACACCATATCCCTATATTTAGAAACTCCTAAGAAGAAGGGGGCCTTGATAAACTACGAGAACACCAGATGCAGAACTGTAAAGCCCACTCGCTATTTGCTTCTACTGCGGAACACTGTTAATTGTTGTGCATACATCGTCATTGCATCTTTGCAAGCAGTACTCCCAACAGGGATAAAGGTCAGGATGACCTCCATTCATAGCACAATGCCAACTAGCCAGATGCCCAAGAGCCAAGCGTGCCATTCCCCTTTCCAGTGGGTGATTTTCCAGCAGCCCAGCTCTCTCACCCACCCTCCGAGCAAGCAGGAGAAACAGTGGGGAGGGGTGGACACGATGTCTGGGCATCAGTCAAATCTCTGGAAGCTCAATGGTAATACCCAGGGGTCATTTCCTGCAGGAGCACACAGGAGCAGAGCTCCGGCAGCAAAGAGCCCAGGGGGCGGGCACATGCAACAAGCTCCACCCCCTGCTCCCAGCAGCCTCAGTCAGAGCAAGAAGCAGCCAGGTAAGTTGCAGAGCCCCCCCCGCCCCCCAGTCCAAAACAGTCCAGTGGCACCTTTAAGACCAAGTTTTATTCAGGTACAAGCTCTCCCTCCTCTGCGAGGACAGATCTGCACGTTCCCCCCCCCCATAGCTAGCAATCCAAAACAGTCCAGTGGAGCCTGAGCAGTGGGTGTTGCCTTCTGACACACTTCCAGTGATGTCAGGGGGTGTGGCCTATGCAAATAAGTTATGCTAATGAGTTATGCTAATGAGCTCCTGCACCTCTTTTTCTATGAAATGACCCCTGGAATACCACAGAGCTTCCAGAGCATTGGGTAATGCCTAGATGTGACATTGACACATCATGTGACACCTGCCCCCTGTCCTGCTCCATCAGCTTCAAGGAGTGCCAGGCAGCAGTCCGGCATCCCTAACAAAAGCTAACTGCAGTGACTAGAGTAAATCTAGCGGCTCTGCTGTGGGGTTGCCAGCTCACTTGTTCTTGCCTGGCTTCGACATCACTGCAGACTGCTTGCCATGATCAGCACAGTTGACTCCGTCACTAGCATTGGGTGACAGCGACAGCTGTACCTGCGATTCTCCAGTCTGTCTAATCTCCAAAGGCACAGGAAGCCCTGCCGAATCAAGAAAGTTGGCAACTCCATTCACCAGCCTTGCCTCCAGAACTCTATGCCTGACTGTGGATTCTTTTGTGGGGTGTACCCTGTGTGGGGCAGCAGCATTCCATTACACAGAAGGAAGTTTAATGAGAAAAGGGGTCATTTCCTGCGGGAGCGCACAGGAGCGGAGCTCCGGCAGTAAGGAGGCCAGGGGGCAGGCACATGCGACAAGCCCCGCCCCCTGCTCCCAGCAGCCCTCAGTTGGGCCACGAGGAGCAAGAAGCAGCCAGGTAAGTTGCAGAGCCCCCCCCCACCGGCCCGCCTTCAGGTACAAGCTCTCCCTCCTCTGTGAGGACAGATTTGCACGTCCCCCCCCCATAGCTAGTAATCCAAAACAGTCCAGTGGAGCCTGAGTGGTAGGTGTTGCCTTCTGACACACTTCCGGTGATGTCAGGGGGTGTGGCATATGCAAATAAGTTATGCTAATGAGCTCCTGCACCTCTTTTTCTACAAAATGACCCCTGAATGAGAGGGTTTTTTAATGTCCATAATATGCAGCTCCAGTTTATGTAAGACCGGGGGAGGGGGGGAGAAAAATACTGTAGTCGTCAGCCTGATATTTTTTTCAATGAAAGGCTAATCCTTCGTTTGGGAGAAAACATTAGCAGTACAATGCCAAAAAGATGTTCAGTGAGCCATCTGACTTCTGTCAGGCCTGATATGTCAGCATGTCACTTTAAATAACAGATGTACTGAATAACAATTACTCCTTGGTCCAAGAGACAACCCCATACTGTAGGTCTCAAGTGTGCTAGTAGCTTCTAAGATGAGTTTTCATTGCTTCAATAATTTGGGCTAGCAGCTAGGCCCCTAGCGGGAAAAAATAAATGCCAATCGTGCAGTGCCTTTTCATTCGAATCTATGGATGCATACAGGATACACGCTCTGACCGGCTTTTCAAAAGTTGCTTGACTCGCTTAAAAAATGTTTATTAATCTTTTTCTTATTCGCCACAGTTGATTTTTTCATTGTCTTTATGGCTGGCACTTCTAGTCATTATCTTAATGAAAGCAGAACCGACCACCTGGACGTTGTTAATGGGGAGTAATTTTAAGGGCAACTGCTCATTTCCTTTTTGGGCAGCTCTTTCCCCATTCAAACAAACATAGGCTGAGTTCAGACTGGCAGTTTGAAGCACGAGGGAGGGAGTCGTGGCAAAAAAGACCCGGAACAAGTTGTTCCCGCTCACACTGCACCGACTGATGCAGAAGCATACTGGGGAGGAGGTGGAACGGAGTGTTCACGCTGTTGGCCTGTCCCTGGTGGAGGCGCGGCTGTAAGTAGTTTTTTTCCACCCCAGCAACATGTGCCTAGCAGGGCTCTTTTTGTAGAAAAAGCCCAGCAGGAACTAATTAGCATAATAGGCCACACCCAACAACAGAAAAGCATTAGCATATTAGGCCACACACCCCATGTTACCAGAAGTGTGGTCATCCAGCCACACCCACCTTTTGCTTCTTACTCTGTTTACCTTGTTTGTTGTCAAAACCCAGGGCTTTTTTTATAGCAGGAAGTCGTGGCAAAAAAGACCCGGAACAACTTGTTCCGCATATTCCTGGTCACACTACACCCACTGATGCGGGAGCAAACCGGGGAGGAGGCACAAGGGAGCGTTCACACTGTTGGCCCGCCCCTGGCGGAGGCACGGCTGTAAGGCGCGGCTCTCTTTTTGGTGCACATATGCACTTAAGCACATAAGAAATTTCAGCATTCGGCGTTCACACTTCCGGGAAGCGGGATGAACGCGCTCTCCAGGGTTTGCTACCACTTTCACCTGGTGTTTTTTAAACTCAGGAGGGAAGCGTTACAAGACGGCTTGAGTACGGCTGGGGGACGCCGGACAGCTGTGGCTGTGTAAACCGGCCCCTTTAATCCGTTTGTGAAATGTGCCTCTATCGGGCCAAACTGCCAGTCTGAACTTGGCCATAAATGCTGCAAAACATACCTTCTGTCATTAGGAGAAAGGAGAGACTCATCCAGACCGTTTGGACATTTAGAGGTCTGGATAAAGAAGGCATTCTCTTACATTTTAATTGACATCGCTGCATGAGCACACTAGAGAATCAAATACAGTGTTTTTAAGAAAATGATTCTGTTCTTCCAGGCAAATCCACTTTTAAAATAAATGTTAGAAATGTGATATACTCATGAATTTTTTGCAGACTGGATAGATTTTAAAGACTATTTGGAGAAATACTGGGATGTAAAGGACAATTTGCTTTGCTTTGAGAATTATCGAAAATCAAAATAGTAGAAAATAGATAAATATATAAGACTAACAGTTGAAGATTAAGTTACCTGTGGATGTGAATAAGGAGATAAGGAGGTTTGAAGAAAATTTAAGAAATGGCCAGGAGGTTGGAGCACTG